TTTTTTTTAATTTATTACACAAAAAAATATATAAATCTGATGATAATTTATCTGCTATTACCCAGATGATTATCTGTTAATATTCAGATAATTATCTGTTAACATACAGATAAATTATCTGTTGAAGTTCAGATAATAAAAAATGGGAAAATTCAGAATAAACATCTGTAAAAATTTTTGGAAAGTTTCGCACATAATATATGCAAAAATCACAGATCATCTGCGAAAAATTCCCAAAAATGGAAAGAAATAACTGTGATAATTTATCTGTACATTGACAGACTTTTGTCTGATTTGGCTTGCCATAGTTTTTTCGCGTCTTCATCAGATAACTGATAATGATAAAAAACAATTATATTTTTATATTGGTATTATTTGTATAACCGAGATAATATTTGATAATATATAATAGAAATTAAATTTTGTTATATGAGAAAGTTATTGTGAGACTCTAAACGATTCGATATTACAGTTACGAAATCCACTCGTTCAAAGTACTGTACTTATGTGTCTATTTTTGGATATATAAAAAAGAATATTTTTTTTTTTTTTTTTTTTTTTTTTTCAGGCAAATGTTAAAAAAATCGAAAAGTTCATATTATATTTAACCTTCATACTTTAGGTTCACTATTATTGTTTTCAGAATTGTACAAAAACGAGAATGATTTTAAATTTACCGTGATTTACGATCACGTGCAAGTCACGGCAGTAACAATTTTTTTTCATCATCTTTGAACTTAGTTAATAATTGAATAACCCGTTAATGGTTAGGCAATTCGTTAAATAATAAGCATTAATACGTTAATTATGATAATGACTTGCAGATCAAGACTAAACAAATTCCTAATTTGATAAGGACATAAATATCTTAACAATGAAATTAGATTATCCGGATATTCGGATCCAAGTAATAACCTAAAATGTGTGAACGTAAAAACGCAGAACAGAATTTTGAAACTCGTGTTAACAACAACAATGTCTCAGCCAATTGTGCCTCCTTTTACTAAGGAAACTGCGAATTTGAAGGTGAAGAATGCGCAAAATTTGTGGAATACTAAGGATCCGTATAAGGTTGTTAAAGCTTATACTAAGGATTCTATGTACGTATCTTTCGTTTTTTGATTTGACAACGTGACAACGTTTGGACGAAAGAATTGATGTCAACATTACTTTAGCTGGCGCAATCGTGATAAGTTCTTTACCGGGCACGAGTCGATCATTGAGTTCTTGAAAGACAAGTGGTCTAAAGAGTTGGATTATAAGTTGAGGAAAGAGTTGTTTTCATGGACGGATAATAAGATTGCGGTAGAGTTTTGGTATGAGTATCATGATGACCAGGGGCAAGTAAGTAATGGATTCATTGCCATAATTACGAATTTTTAGAACTAATCCATTATACATTTTGTTACGATTGTAATTATAGTGGTATCGTAGTATGTACCCGATTTTATATATCCATGTGCTTTTGTTTATAGTTAGATAAGGATCTAATGTGCCCTTTTCTTACAGCTTACGGTATTGAACATTGGACATTTGATGAACAAGGACTTATGCAACGTCGAAACATGAGCGCAAATGATATTACTATCAACGATGAAGAGCGTTGGTTTAAAGATGTTGATGTGGATGATGTTGATGTACCGATTTAGTCATGACTTTCGTAGTCATCTTTCATTACCATAGTATTTACTATTGTTTAAGGAAATAACATTGTCGATTTACAAATACCTTTATTTTCAATTAAATTATTTGAATGATTGTATTATGTATTATTTCACATGATTTATCTCTAGTCAAATCAAAAATAAAGTATTTTATCAGATTTAATATTCTAGTCAATATAATTTGTTTGGAAGCAGAGTATTATTGGAATCATCAAATATTACTAAATTATTCGTTTCTTGATAATCTGAAGAATTTTTTTTAATGAAAATGAATTAATTTCAATTGATGTTTTTTCTTGATAATTTGAAGATTTATAATGACAAATGAATTAATTTCAAATTAATGATTTTTTTTTTCCTCAATAATTTAATTAAAAAAAAGATTCCAATTCTAATCATATCATTTTAATGAAACAAAGTCCAATTATTTTTAATAGTAAATAAAGATTACCTACACGTAATTCTCAACCTAATATCATCCCATGCCATTATCATGATTCATCATACTTGGTAACCCTAATGAATTTCCTACAATGGTATTATTTCCATAATTATTACCGCTCATGATTCCTCCCATATTATTAGCTAATCCACTGCCAGCTAGCCCATTTCCTCCTCCACCCATAACAGTGCTAGTCAATGAACTTCCAGCTAATGAATTTCCAGACAATGAGTTTCCAGTCAATGGATTTCCGGCTAATGGATTATTTCCCATTCCATTTCCACCAGCACTTGGATATCGCATCATGCCGTAAGCATTTGTTGTTCCAAATCCAGTACCACTTATTCCTGCACCAGTGCCTCCACCTCCTATATATCCTGCATATCCAACATTTTGTAATTGTTGAAGTTGTTGCTGCTGAGACATTCCATATTGATCCCCAATTCCAATTATTGAAGGCAATATTCCTGATCCTTGTATATTTCCAGCCCCTCCGTTTCCAGCACCCGTATTTCCCATTGACATATTTCCAATCCCAACCAAAGGTGGTAATGATACTTGATATGATTGTTCTGAGTTTGTTGAAGCATTCATCATTGCATAATCGGAAATATTACTTGTAGTGGACATGTTCTGATGTTGGGGAGTGGGGTGATGTTGTTGATAAGTTGTAGAAATTGTTGCAGTTGGCATCATAGAATTGGTGAATCGATTTGCAGATTGTTGAGAATTCTGCTGTGGTTGATGCAACTGCTGTGATGTTTGTTGTTGGAGCATTTGCTTTTGTTGAGGAGATTGTTGGGATTTTTGTTGGTGTTGAACTTGCTGCGGATGTTGGGGTTGTGGTGGCATTGTTGGTGGTGGTGGTTGCTGTTGCTGTTGCTGTTGCTGCTTTTGATATAACTGATATTCTGGTGAATTACTTATCACAGCTCCTATAATGCTGCTATTGGGAGGTTGTCCCATTTTAAATTGACGTGGTGGCGATGTCGAACTTGGATCTAACATATGACTGGTAGTTATAGTACTAGAATTATTATTATTGTTAGATGCATTATTGCTAGCAAGAACTGCGAGCGCTGGATTGGTACCAATTCTTTGAAATTTTTTTTGATGGGCGAAAACCTGGCTAGCTCGCTGAAGAAGAGTATTTATTTTTTGTCCAAAACTACTACGAGGTATAGGTAATGGAGATAGGTCAGGAATCATCTTTTGCTTGAATTCTTGTAAATCCGGCTATATTTAATATAAATTTTTATTACAAATTACAAAAAAAAACTAGGTCAATTGAATTAAATAATGATGAAACATATAATTGAATAATTACGTTACGGGAATTTCCATTATACTCATCTGCTACAGTTGCTAAATATGATAAATTAGCCTGAAGACGTGATTTATACCTGGTTTGAGATCATAAAAATTAAATATTTAAAAATTAATGACAAATAATAATATAAAAATATGATTTTATAAAGCCTTACATTGCCAAATCCTGATCATTGGTTATTCCTTTATTTTGATAGTCAATACAAACACGGATCAATTCGTAATTTATTTCAAGGATCTAGATATAAATTAATTCACACTGATTAGATTTTTTCTCATATTAAAATTTTAAAAATAATAAAATAATGTACCAATTGAACACATTTTTGAGTATAATCAACTAGCGTAAAAAAAAAAGGACAAATTGTTAATATTTTATTTGTAAAAAATAAAAGAGATTAAAAATATTTAGAATTACTATAATTACTATATTCTGGAGTTCTATTTTGATTGTTTCCAATAGTAACTCCACCATTTGTATTAATAGGTGTGTTTACATTCGCATTTACGTTATTATCTGCTTGTTTAATATTTGGTTTCCTAACATTTGAACCGACTATAGGAGTATTTTGTGCCTGTATAAAATTATTATTAGTTTCGGAACTCTGTGTGTGATAAAGAGACTTGGATGAAGTTGTAGCAACATTAGAAGCATTTAAAGTTGTTGGCGGAGTTGCTATCGTGGCTCCTGAAATAATTGTCTGATTAGAGACGAGTTGCTGATCTGAGCCCATCCAGGGATAAGTAGGGTGGTGCTGTTGAATTTCATAACCAGTACTCATTTGCTGTGTATTAGCTCCCGTAAAGGAACCATTTCCATTTGCTTGTAGGTACTGAGAAGGAAAATCACCGCTCATTATTTTTTTTGATGAATTTTTCTCAAATTCTGTCAAGTTTATAAATTAAATGATTTAAATGATCATCCCAAATCAGATGATCTCGAGTAAATCAGCTCGCAAATCCTTCACTCATATTATTAGCATTTAATATGTAAAGTTTAAATATAATAAATAAAGTTCTTCTATATATATTATTTATAATTATGCAATGTAAAAGATTGTGAAATTTTACAATTATAGTAGATGTTTTAAAAAAATCAGGTTAATATATATATAATATATAATATATCAAATATATATAATATATTAATGCATAATATCAAAAGTAATATTATTATTATTTAATTCTTAAATCAAATAAATTGCAAAAAAATCTAAAATAATATTATTAAAGCAAAAGTATATTAGTATTTTTAAAAAGTTGTATAAAAATTATATTATATTTATTATACATCTAATATTAAAAAATTAAATTTTTCTATATAAGTTAATTTAATTTAAATTTTTATAAAAGTCAATCTAATTTAAATTTAAAATATATTATTATTAAATTATTAGGAAAATACCTTTTCTACTGCTACCAGTCCTGCGAACCTAATGTATCTTTTCTGATCAGCTTTATTGAATTTACCAACAGCTTCCTTGTACTTTTCTACTGCCCTATCTAGTGTTCCTTATGAGTCAAGTTAAGTCGAATTTCAAATCAATTTTTATATGATAAAATTTATATTATTTATGTTATGTGAGTCTATGCAAGTCATTTCGAGTCGTATATGCAAAACACTAGCCCTATTGTAGGAAAATATCATTAATAGACTAATATTTTTGTTAGATTAATTATATATTATGGTAAAATATGGTAAAATGTAATACAAATACCTTAAATATAATATTTGTATAAAAAAATTTATAATACTTTTTATTTTTTATAAAATTATATATTATTATTACTATTATTTTATTTTATTTTTCAGTATATTAAAGTTATTTGTTATACTTTATTTTTAAAAAAAAAGTCACATATATAATTACCAAAAGATCAAATGTAAGTAATATAAATCTACTACTGCTATATAATAAAAATAGAACAAATAATCTTTATTATTATTATTATTTAATAAATTATGTAATAATATATAGTAATTTAATATAATTTCAATTTATTAGGATATTTAATTTACTTTAACAAAATATATTAAATAAACTTTAAATTTTAAATATATATTTCAAAATATACTTTAGCATTTTTTTTTTAATATAGATTCAAATTATACTTTAATAAATATTATTTAAAGTTTAATTTAAATATATTTATAAGTATATTTAAGTGATATAACTTTAGTTTTTTTAAACTTTTTTGTTATTTTTTATTAAATTATAATGATAAAAAAATTATCAGCTTAAAGATTAAATAAACCTTTATTTAAAAATATAGTATAAAACAAATATTATTAAATATTCCAATTACATAATTGATTTGTATAAGTAGGCAGGTAATTAGAGTTAAATAAAGATAGGTAAGCAATAAGTATATAGATTAATATAAATTAGTATAGAAGACTATGTCAAATTAGCAATGGGAATTAGTTTAAATAAATAATATTGTTTAAAATTCCAAAATTTATAGATTTATTAAAAAATCATTGATCAGATTTTAATAATTAATAATTTACTTTATAAAATATAAAATTTTAATTATTTACATATTGTCTATTTATTCACTTTTGAATTAAATTTTAGAAACTATAGTATTTATGATTTCATTATATAAATAATAATTCTTTTTTGATGAATGTCTTGATTACTATCAAGCTAATTAGTGATTCAAAAAATATTCACTCATTTTCCAATTCGCTAGAAAACAAGAGCCCTTTTTGGGTAAGGTAAAATCTGTATCACAGATGTTGATCGACCAATCTGCTTTATATTTATCAAACTGAATTATTTCTTTTTTTCTTAGACAAATCGATAAATGGAAAATATTCAAATAAAAATTGATAACTCAAATTTGATGCGACTTATAGGTCCTAATATAACAAAGGACGAAAGTGACATTTTAATCAAGAATAATTCTCTTGATTCAGAAAACAAAAATTCAGTAAAAAGGCGTAAATTAGATAAAGATTCTCATAATGATTCAATATCAAAAAACAATAAACCTAAAGACTTGGACGATGTAATATATTATTTTGAGGATGGTAATAAATACTTATAATTAATTTAAGTTTTTATTTATTTATTTATGTTGAAATTAATATTTTTATAGGTCTTCGTAAAGTTAAACCTTATTATTATGAGTATCAAGCATTTGCAAAAGGACGATGGTTGGGTCGAAGTATTTTTGATATTTTCTGTACAGAATTTCGTGATCGATCAAGAGACTATTATGTAAAATATTATTTTATTGTCATTCATTTCATCTTTTAATCAAACTCGAAAGTAAAACTTTCTTTTTTAGGCCTATGCCATCGAGACAGGCTTGATTACAATTAATGAGAAAATCGTTACAAAAGAAAAAATTGTTAAGAATCAGGATATTATCGGACATAAAATTCATAGACATGAGCCTCCAGTCACAGCTGACCCAATAAAATTAATCAGTATGGAAAATGATTTGATTGTGATTGACAAACCAGGAAGTGTGCCTGTAAGTATTTATTGTCGCTTTTTTTCCTAACCTTACTATTTGATGTTATTTAATTTACTGATAATATGTATTGTAGGTTCATCCATCCGGCAGGTTAGTAGATAATTACCTTAAAAAAAATTCCCGATTTGATAGAAAACATTGATATAATTTTATATTTGAACTTCGAAGATATCGACATAACACTGTTTTACACATTTTACAAAAAGAGTTCGGGTTTTCGAATCTTTATAGTAAGTTGCCTAATCATTTTCAAAACTATCATTTTAATATATGTTATGCTTAATTGATTCTTATTAAAGCCTTGAACAGACTTGATCGTTTGACATCGGGAATAATGTTTTTGTCTACAAATAAAGAAAAAGCTCAAGAATTTGAACAATTAATGCAAGAACGTAAAATTCACAAAGAGTATCTTTGTCGCGTTATTGGAGAATTTCCTACGTAAGTCTATTTAAAGATTTTTGTGATTTGTAATTAATAACCTTTTACTAACTTAATTAAATTATTTACAGGGGCGATGTGAGATGTGATAAACCAATTATGACCGTATCACATAAACTTGGATTAAATGTTGTACATCCGAAAGGGAAACCTTGTACAACAATATTTCGTCGTGAGAGTTATAACGGTCGAACAAGTGTTGTTAAATGTATCCTTTAGATTAATATATAGTTTTTTTTATGTGCAATCTATATCTTTAACTAAACTAATTGTACATCATTAAATAGGTATTCCGATTACTGGCCGAACACATCAAATTCGTGTTCATCTTCAGTATTTGGGTTACGTGATTGGCAATGATCCATTGTATAATCATCATGTCTGGGGTCAACAAAAAGGAAAAGGTGGAATCGATGAAGTTTCAACAAAATCTGTTATCAATAATCTTATAAATGAAGGTATAAACCAAGAAGAATGTCTTGTATTGAATTTACCTACGAAACAAAATTCTGATATTACTACAAGTAATGTTATGAATGTAGAATCATCAGAACAAAGTCAAAGATTTAAAGATAAATCATTAGGAAAATGTGAAGAATGTACCATTCCAAATTTTCCAGATCCTAAACCGGATCAATTATTTATTTGGTTGCATGCATTAAAATATGAAGTTAGTGGATGTAAATACGAAACTCAATTACCATATTGGGCGAAAGATGATTTTGATGGAGATATAAATATAAAATAATTTACGTGTAAAATAAAGTATAATTTTATGGAGCCTGCTCACGTTTAAACTATTTACGATATCATGTACATGAAACAATAGAAGCATACTTCAACGATTTCAGGTAAAGCGGATGAATGGAACAACTACTCATAGATAGATAAAAGCAGATTTCGAACTACATGACAATATTGTTGTCAGCTTTTCATATATTACTGAATAATCATTTAATTGTTCGCTATTCATGATTTTACTATAGTGATTTTATAATAATAATTCAACTTGTTACAAATAGATACTCCAATTGCAAAATCTATCTTCCTGTCATAATTTAGTTATGTAAAAAAAGAGCTTTTGTCCTAAATTATATCATTGAGCTTGTACTTGAGAGTGAGCTTTCTCTTGAATTTTATTTTAAATGGGCCAAATAAAGATGATATTGTGGTTAAACTACTTATGTCGAAGTGTTTTAAAACAAGTCTAATAAATGTCACTTGATATAATTATCACTATTTTAACTCCATCTTGACGAAGGATTAACATTAGTTTTAGTTATTCTGTATACATGTTTAAAACGATAACTTTAAATAATTGACATTTATCATTTATTCTTTAACATATAAATCAGTGAGTTACAAGCCGATCAAATATTAATATTGGGGTATCATCATATTTAAAAAAAATAAAGTTTTGATTTCTTCAAAGTTCTCATACTCTAAACCTTAAATAGATTGACTGATCATCAAAACATACCCTCTATATAAGGCAACAGGTAATAAAACTAACATAATTCGTGTTGAACAGATAAAATAAATATAGTAAACATATAATTTATTATCCAAATATGTAAAATAGATTATTGAATATTAAATTCCTAAATATGACTATAGTATGTTTACTTAAATCGGTTAGTGTAAATTGTGTAAAATGCAAATATAGCAAATATAAATACTTTACTCCAAAATAATTATTTCTTTTTAGGTTTAACCGGTTTCTTCTTTTCTTTGGATTTTCTGGTGACAACCACTTTTCTTTTAATGTCCTTAAACTATTGATTTATATTAGTTCTTTTATTTTATTTTATTAGCGTGTGAAAATAATCGCTTGTTTTTTAGTATTTTTACGTATCTAATATTATAGTACTTTATCGATCAAAAAAATAAACCCAAAAAATTACCTAATAATGAGATTAATGAAAACTTATATAAATTCTAGTACAATTATATTATCATTTTTACTATGTGTGTTTAATGCTTCAGAATCTTTACTTGTTGGTATAGCAAATTTAAGACAAGAAACAAAACCGAACTCAACAAAAATAATATTTTTGGTAGAATTGGTCAAAATCGTCGGTAAGTAGCTCAACAATTTTTACATCTTGGTCTTTTAATCTTTCTAACTTTATATATTAACATACACTTATATATACATATGTATATGTTTATTTAAGTATCGATTATATTACTTTCAATAGAATTAGGATGTTTTTCAGGAGGAATATCACAGGAAACAGCATTTTCACAATATCGAAAGTCCAATTCAATAATCAATTTTGCACCACTAATTCAATCTTTAAAATCCATCTTCACAGATAGTACAACATTATTATTCGGTATACCAGCCATGGCTTATTTCATCAATAACAATCTTGTCTTTTTGATTTTAAATTTAATGAATCCACCAACTTTTACCGTTCTTAGTAATCTGAAAATCCTTACTACAGGATTATTTTCTTATATATTTTTAAATAGAATTTTAAGTACAACGCAATGGATATCATTAGTGTTATTATTTATTGGTACAACAATAGCACAAATTCAATTTTCTTCTGAAGGATCATTTGAATTCACTTCGCCATTTGGATTCCTTTTAATATTAATATTCTCATCAATATCAGCTGGAGCTTCAGTATATACTGAATATGTAATGAAAGATAAATTTGGCAACGAATCAATCAATTTACAAAATATCAAATTATATTTATTTGGTGTACTGTTAAATGGACTTGTTTATTTCACTTTATCATATCGATCAGACGATGGTTTCTTTCTTACTTTGTATCCGATTCACTATGCTATAATCATATCTGTTTGTTCTCTTGGTTTGATTACGAGTGCTATAATTAAATATAGCGGAAGTATAACTAAAGTTTATGCGAGTAGTTTAGCAATGTTTTTTAGTGGATTTGTATGTTATTATATATTAGAATTTTCTCCCAATATTAACTTTTTCTTGGGTGCTTTGATTTGCTGTTTATCTGTTCATATGTATAGTACTGGTGGATTAGATCAATATAATGTTATTAGATCTAAAGAGCAGGAAAGTAGTTTAATAAATGAGGATTTAGAAGAAAATATTGGACTCGAGAAAAAAATATTTTATTAACTAAAGAAAAGGTGATTTTTTTTTCGAGACGATAACAGAACTTTTATTTTTATTAATTCTTATCAGTTTGTATGGAAAAAAATTACGGTTGGCACCAATTATAAAATTGGTTATTTCTCTTTAATTATTTAATTAGATCTATTTTTAGATAACAAAAAATTTTTTTTTATTTCTAATTTAGAATGCGATAGAACTATATATATTATCGGTATAAAAAAACAGTAAATAAGACAGTATATAAAATGCCCACTTTAACATGCATAATCTTAACTTCTATAAATAAATAAATGAATAAGTAATAGTTCTCTAATAGATATATGTCCTCTAAAATATATAATTGTGTGTAAAATAATAATTAGACTTTTTATATTATTAAACTGTATTTTAAAATACTTTTTTTTTAAAAAAAAAGTTTGAAATTTTCATTATTATTATTTACTATTATTATTAAGGAGTAGATGTCATTTTGACGCCAAAATTAGGTACATTAATGTTTTTTGGGACCGCACCAAATTTATTATCCAAATCCTAAAGATAAAAAAATGGGTTAAATCATTTTTATAAATACAGTTTGATTAATATTATCTTAATTTAACTTACTAGCAAAATTTTTAAAGCATTTCTGCTTTTTAAATGACTAAGATCTCCGATAACATTAACAGGTTTTTCCTTTTCAAATTTATCATTGCTAGCACTCCAAGGAAATGAACGTTGTAATAACTCATAAACCATCAGAGTTGCACCAAATTGTGGTGAAGATCTAAATACTCTAGCTGGTCCTCCTTTAAAGAATGCTTTAAATCCTTCTTCCGCTAATATCTTTCTTCCTGCATCCATTATACCACTATAAGCTGTCTGTCCTTTTCTTGCTTCTACTTGTAGTCTTGTTTTAATTACATCACATGGTGTTGTAAGATATGCTGCTGGCATACCTGCTATTGCTCCTGATAATAATAATTCTCCCATATTTAATTTTTTATCTGGCCCTTCTTCAAAAACATCTGATTTAAGATGTGAATAAACTGGAAAATAAATGGCTGAAAATGGTACATCTCTTAATAAACATGCTGCCGCTCCTTTATATAATCCTACTATTCCAAGATTTCTTACTATCCATAATGCAGATCTATGTTGTACATTCGATATATTCTTTGCCATTTCTCCTTGTATCTGAAGTCGAATTTTTACAATTTCCAATGGGTTCGTAAAAATCTATGTATGAAAAAATTTGAAGAATTTTTTTTTTTTGACTGAGTATAAATGTAAACATCTTTTTAGTTGTATACTTAATATACTTAATTAACTTTAATGTACATAAAAATGTGTTCTCTCTCTTAACTTACCACTTGACAACCACCTGCAGCACCACCAGATAAAATTTCATATTTTAGTGGGAGCTTTCCATTGTTATCCTTCAATTTCGATCTTAAATAATCATTTACCGTTAATTTAATGGCTTTCTCCGGTGCAACACCCTAGATAATATAATACAAGAATAAAAGTGAGAATAAGAAAAATGTTCACGTGATTATATATATTTATCTTCCTACTCACGACTAATTGAGGACCAAGACCACTATAAAGTCCCATAAATCCTTCATGTTTTATCACTTTTTTAAAACAATCAATGCTATTTCTATATAATAATTCCCCTACAACTCTTGATCGCTGATTTTGCATTCTGGTTTTCACCAAATCAACTGGATAAACAGCAGTGGCACCAACGGCACCAGCAATTGATGCAAGAAAAAAATAATACGACTGATGCAAAACTTCCCACAAAATTCCTTGATGTTTCTGTGTTGTAATTTGGACAATTGGTCTTTGATCTGCTGGTTTTTGCCATTTTGGATCCAATAATTGTGCAAAATCTCGTCTACCTAACCTTCCTGAAGGATTTCCAAGTCCAGCAAAATGAAATATTATGTCAGCTTCTAATGGCGTAAATAAAGAAAATCTTGTTTCTTTTGCTGCAGTGTTAAGAAAATCATTCTTTGTAATACGTCGATCATTACTTTCTGATATGGCTTTCAATACGATCCTTTCAACCATGTCCATCTGTCTTACTACATTATGAAACGCTATAACTGTAGCATAATTTATTTCATTACTAGTAGATATATTACATAATGTAGGTAAATGTTCTATAACATAATCAGATAATTTATGTTTCGCAATAGAGATAATGATCTTCTTGAAAGATTCAGGAGAGATATAACCAGATCCTTCTTTATCATAATATCTAAATTCTTGCCTCAATCTTTCAGCTTGTAATCCTTTTAATAATTGAGTGAATTCTTCATAATTTAGATCATGTTTTTTACTATTATTCCATCCAACATAATATTTTAACCAATCACAATCAAAATTAAAAGGTACGCTATCAGATCCTATGTTTGAGGCAAGAATCTCTCTAAATTGTTCAACGGTAATCTTCCCTTTACCTTGAACATCAAATAATCTAAAAGCGATTTCGTATTCTGCATCAGGTTTTGACAATAAATTTTCAAATACCATAAAATCTTGAAGTGATAATAAACCTTTTCCATTCTTATCCGCTATTCTAAATAATAAAGCAAATTGTTCTTTTTGTATTTTTTGATAATCTTCTCCCGGAGCTATAGCTTGAATAAAATCTTCTTGATTCATATATTTTTGTCCATTAATTTTTATAGACGAAAATTTGTCAAATTTTTCTTTTTGCAAAACATATTGTTGTTCTGGAGTAAAAATGCTACTACGTACAGAACGTATACGTTCTAGTGAAGATGCTGCCGGTTCTGATCGTTGTGACATATTATCAAATAATTTTTGTAATTAAATAAAGGATAAATATATTTTTTTTAGCCGGGAATTATTTTTATATAATAGATAAGTGTTTATATATAAAAAATATAAAAAAAAAGAAAAAGAAAAAAAAAAATTTTTTTTTTATTCGAAAAAATTGTTGTGTGCCTTATATATAAAAATAAGGTTAAATCCATTGTTTAACAGACCCCGGAAGTAAGGTATATATGCCTTGCTATTCATTTTTTCCTTAAGGTTAAGAGAAATCGGGAAAAAAAAATTTTTTTTTTATATCCGAAAACTTTTGTAAAAACCAATCCAAAGTGTTAGAAATCCATTCAGAAAGGACAGTGTAACTTTTAGCACATGATACTTAATTATTTTTTTATACGTTTATATAGAAAGAAGTTTTATTTGTTGTGCCAAAAAAATGACAGAAACAACGCCAACGCCAAATATAATAGATTCATCATTTGCGTAACCATCCGGGCGACGGTATTCGATAGCAAAAAAATTTTTTTGTGTTGATACAATTACAGAGATGCAACAAAATAATCAAATAATGAGTCATTAAAATTACGTAGATCTCCTTAAAAAAAAGTTACACTAGATGATGTTTAAAATACCCGTGGAAAATCATGTAAGTCAACGGAACATAAATACACAAATTACCACGATTGGTAATTAACACATGCTCATTGAATTATTAAATTTAATAAAGATCATATAGATCTCAGTCATCTCCCGCATTTCTCTGAGTAAAAAAATTTATTTCCGGTGACTTTTTTTCCAAAAAAAGTAATTGATTAAATTTGATTCTATATAGAATATTGCAAATCTGCAATATAAATTTATTGATTTGTTAAATGTATTTTAAAATTTTAAGTGTATTTTAAGTATATTTTTAAAATTTTAAGTTTATTTTGAATAGGGATTCTATTTTCTGAATTGAATCTCACTAACCACGTACGCGCTATTCTTGAATTCATCAGTGTTAGTACGTTTGCCCAACGTGGATTTACCACCCAATACATTTAACAACTATCAATGTATTTAATTTTCCTAATATTTTCTTTTCTTGGAGCATAGTTAACTGAAATGGATTTGGTGCAATAACTTAAATCAAGACTAGTTATTCATTCTCTAAAAGAGATCAATAGATACCTAATTTGAAATAGTTGCACACATTTAAACTAATAAGTATATTATTGTTGGAATAATCGAGTGTCAAGATTAAGATTTATTCAGTATTCGAAATAGAACTTAGTAAGATCACTTATTAGACTGATCAGATTTATTTAGACAGTCAATTACAGATAAAGTTTAGGAAGTTTTGACTAAGTTTAGTAAACTAATTCACATTAAATTTATTAATTTTCACATTAGTTGCAGTAGCGAAAGTGGACATGGAGGCAGGTGTATAAGGTGTATTGGATTCAGACACATATATAACGCTTTATAAGGATATTTGGCTCGAATAAAAAAATGTTACTGCGAGTAAAAAAATACCAAGTGAGGGAATTTATTCTGTCGCGCTTTATATAAAATGAATTCAACCGTTCGATTTCGGCAATGATATCATAGAGACCTAGCGATGCAGCAAATTTAGCATTATTTTGACTACGGCAATACTGTAAGATATATTCTGAATTCTCAGATGCAATGGGATCATGAGTCATGACACTTCCAAATCAGTTAAGAAAAGAAATTTTTATAGCAGAGAGGAGAGGAAGTAATCCTATTAGAAATAAAAATATATATTTCGAATTTTTTGAAGTTAAAAAAGATTTTTTCATTGTTTTCATCAAAAAAACTAGTATAGTATTAGGATTAAAGATATATTTACAAATAGACATTGAACATACGTGAATCTTCAGGAACAAATTACATATCTCGATGTAAGCCAGATACGTTTAATACAGAAGATTATGAGTATGCAACCAAAAAAAAACATCAGCCTTATGTTACGAATCCAACGTTCATCATCCGGAGGGGAAAAATAGCCAGGTATATGTTTGGCACATCAGCCCGAGGTGGGCCAGCGTCAAACAGCGTGAAGATAGCCGACAGGAGATCAAAAACTATGAGGGTATTGGAATGGAGTTCAAACACCAAGAGAAAGCTTGAAGTGCAATTACTCCTTGGGGAATTGTGCCGAGTCGGTACCCTTCGAATTGCGAACCCGAAAAAAATGTTGTAGTTATGTATACGCAAAGTAAGAACGGTAGTGATCAGTGATGAACTCGTGTACAAGATGTCAGAAAGTAGCGGACGAACTGAGTCGGAAGGGCTGGGCCGTAGTGTGTCTATGGTAGTTGATACATTCGTTGATGAATCCGTCCGCCGTAATATCGCAGTTTCTATTCATATTACTCTCGTCGACAGTAAAGATCTAGAAACGCTACTTCTATGAATTTGTCGCAGAATTTGATTTTGATCACATTATTGTAATCAGAGAAGTAAATTATGGGCTACTCTTTCTAGGTTGCTACGGATGAGTTTTTAAATGGGAAGAAGTGCAACAAGTTTGTGAGTTTGTTGTATTAGGGGACTCATTAGGGGAGTTGGAGTATAAATTGAAATCCAATAAACGGCTAGATTGGGTAGTATGGACTGCGGAATATGATGGTATCATGAATAAAACACTTCATGGTATGTCCAAATGCATTATTATAATGGGAGTGAAGAAATGCTAATTTTTTTTTATTAACTTCTTTTCAGATTATGATTTAGAGATGTTTGAAAAAGCAAGAAATACAAGAGCTGCGAAAACAAGAAGAATAAAAGTCGGACTATTATACATGATTATATTTTCGAACAATATGATTCTTACTCTCAGGGGATTTATCCGCACACGCACTATCCTTTAACAAACCAACGATTACGCCCAAAACCTTCCTCACACCCTTACACAAAGTATGATACTCCTCCATCCCTTTCAAAGCATCATCGGTTAAATCGATTGCGAGAGGCAACTTACTGCATTTTGATATGACTCCGAGAGTGTACAGTAAGAAGTGCCAGTCCTGGCCAGCCATAGATTTAATCAAAAGCATCCTCACTTCTCTTTCTTCCTCTTGTTCGTCTTATGCGCGCGCTTTCGAGCTGGTTGATATTCTGTGCGAACCTAGAAAAGAAATCACGGGTATTAATTCAATGTACAACACTATCGCTATTATTTCAGCAAGAATATCTTTCTGCGCATTTCAGGTGATCGATACACCATACAATATGTCACTTCACAGGTAAAAAACGGGCCCTATTGGACGAACTTTATTAATATGAATGGCTTATTACGTTTTCAGATGGTTGAGGCTTCAAAATCTTGAAGAAATTTTGTTGCGCAAGAATCATGCGGCGCAGTACATTATCATGTTGAGTAAAAAATTGGCGCAGCGGACGATCGCTACACATGACACGATTGCTTTGTTATATGACGTCAAAGCTAACTCAATATCACAGTAAATTTCAATCCCTTCAATTGTAATTTTTTAAAATTATTATAAATTCGAGACAAAACGATGCATATAATTCATGTTTATTCCATCCGGAGAAACAATCACAAAATTATGTGATTCACAATTTTTTCTTTGTTGATATAATGTTACATATTAAAGCTTACAAATATTATTTTTAAGAATAATTTCTAAATCAAGAGATATGTTAGTTAATTAAAAATTAGTATGTAATATATTTCGCCACTTGATGTACAATCAGTTTCACTAGATATTTCGAGGTGAATCTCGGAAAATCCGAAATTTTTTTGATAAAAAGCTTTATTTGATCTTTAATTTGTGTATCAAAAATTGCGATTATGAACAATATATACAATCCTAAAATGAAAAAACTAAATTATTGAAAAAATAATCATTCATCACGATCTTAAAAAATTGTTTCTCTAGACATTAGCATTAGTCTCTGCAGCGATCTTATCAGTAACGACACGAATACTGTTGAAGTGAATTAAAACAATGTTCTTAAAGGATTGCAGATGAAAGAATAATAATACACTATTTTAGAAAATAAGCTCAAACCTGTCTTGCATAGTGACGCTCTTATCGGTACGAGTCTAAAGGAGGTAAAGAAGTTTTAAAATGTACAATCACGTGAAATAACAAAAGATTATCCGTAGTATCTTACGTTAAGACGAATATTAGTGTCGCAACGAGGAGCACCCATTTCGTGCATTTTGTCAATACACTTACGAACAGCACACATCACCTGATCATAGTTACCCTCTATTAAAAACGAAGTTAACAAAATTGTAGATTAATACTAAAACGATAATTTTTAAACAAACCTAAGTTGGTTCCATTGGCGTGCAAGTTAAAGTTCAAGCTGTTTATAATATGTCTTAGTAATAAGTAAAAAACGAATTAGAATATTGCGGATTGCTCACCCAGAATCTAGCAAAACCTTTTGACACTCGACTATGTACTATAAAAGAAATTTTTAAACAAAATAATTATGTCAATATTTCAAAGTTAAAAAAGAGATAACGGAGATAATTATAACTTATTTGTTAAAATATCACTTTTCTCTTTAGACATGATAATAATACATGTATGCATACCTTTGTGGTATTAGTTCCGGCACCCATAGGAATAATGCTGAAATCAGCGAGAACATGACAATTTTGAGTAGTACCAGACATGATTCCGTTGCAATGAATATGTAGACAACAAATAATAAAAGCAAAAAGAGTAGCAAAAAGAAGAAAGAAAAGCGTAGAATAAATTTCTCATATTTCTCATAGAATCATTTTAAAGTAAATTGACTTTTGCCCAATAAGTTGAATTTCATATTCAGTGATATCATTAATTTATCTGATATGTTAAGTATGGGAAAACACTTTATTAACACTTAAAAAAAGAACACATGTTTATTATGAATCTTAAATTAGTATAAGCTAAATAAGTTAAAGGTTTATTATTCATCAATTTCGTCAGAGTTTTTAGCAGCAATGGCAGCTACTTTGTCTCTTCTTTTACGTGCGTAAGATGAAATTATTATGGCAAAGTATAACTACATTAGAGATTAAAAAATTATTTTCGATTATTTTAATTTTGAGTTGATACAATAAAAAAAAAAATAATTAATTAATACATACCGTAAAAAGTATTGTAAGAACAGCAAAAGCAATAGAAAATGTTAAGCTAAAAATATATCCTTGATTACATGCATCGGCTGAATATTCAATTCTAGACGAAGTTTTACTAATAGACCTTATACAATCCTCTATGAACCTTGACTTATACCTTATCACAAGACAGATCACTAATGCACGAGATACAATTTCAGCTCCCACAATAACGTATGCTATTTTGGTATATATTGTTAACATTTTAACTGTTCTCTAAATAAAATTCTAGTTAGTTCAAAAGAAATGAAATAAAGCTATTACAACTTCTTTCGTTACATACCGAACATGTTACGGCAAACAATCCAAATGCTGCTCCAATTGTTATTAGTCCATAATTAATAGTTACTGGAATAACGAATGGATAGACATAACTATACACTTAATATCAAACAAATTATTTGAATTATTTAATGATATGTATTTTTCAAAAAAAAAATATATATATACTAGGTCAAAATAGTTTACCACTTGTTCTTTTATTTGATGTGATGAGAAGTAAACTATTTTGTGCTGTTTCAAGAATTCCATAAATCTATTGAAGTCTTTTGTTAAACATTTACATAAAAAGATTTTTCTTTAAAAAAATGAAGGAAAACTTACAAGCCATATCAACGATATAAATACAACACCAGGCTTTAACTTGATACAAAAACAACAACTGGTAATTTGTGTACTTGCAGCCATTTTTTATTTTGATGAGTTCGTTATAAAATAAAGACAAAAAAAAAATGACAACGACTTTATGGAAGTATCTAAGCCTTGTCAAAAAAACACGTATAAATGAATTAAAACCTACTCCCGCCCGTGGAATTTCCAGATTTAAAAAAATTCACGAGTTGTGTCATTGTGCAACCTTACAGCTAAAGTAGGTCATTCCAAAATTAGGAATCGGATTATTAAAAAATTAAGGAAATAATAAACGAAATATACGCAGTAAACAAACCTCCGTAAAAATTTCTAAGTTGTAACTTTTTTTGATAAATTTATTTCACTTTGATGTTCTCAATTTAAACAATGTAGTACTGTTTGAGATTATATAATTTATAATTTGCAAGAAGTGGATTTTGGATTTTGTTAAATTAAAATATTAATGGGATTGAAAAATAATCATATATTGTACAAAAATTAAGATGAATGTATGCTATGTATGCTAAAAAATGTTTTTGCAAATGCCTTTTTCAATGTCGTATTTAAAGGTGGATTCAAAAAAAAAATATTAAAATAAATGAATGGATGATCAAAAAAATATTCTAGTTAATACGGTTTAGTTAAGAGTCAACAACCCTATCATCATACGTTTTATCAACTTTAATCTTAAATACATTGGATGTACCTGAAGAACTTAATAAATTATTTCGTTTTGAAGAAGCTTCACGTCTCTTCTTCTTTTCCAATTGCTCACAACGCTCTACATAAGTTTGCAATATAATCGAAAAATAAACCTAAAGGGGAAAAAATGAGGTAAATAAAAATTTTAAATAGGAGATCAAATAATTAATATACTTACATGTATAGAACCTTGAAAGAATATAATTAAATACAACCAAATCGATTGAGACATTACTTCATTAACGCAATAATTTATATTATTATTTCCCACTTCATTACAATAACCTATAAATCCATTTTTGCTAACCATAATGGCTACAATTGAGACTATAGCGAGTACAAAATATATAAAAACTGCAAAGAACCATGAAGTATATGAATACACTCGCAATAATGGCGTTGATTTCTGATTAATAGAGAGAATTGAATTGAATTAACTATAATATAATAGTATTGCAAGATATTTGTTAATGCTAACTTACATATATTAATAATGAAGCAAGACCGATTATACTTATAAGAAATAGTATAATAAAGTATACGGACAGAGTTTTCGTCAAAATGGCGACATAATAATATACTATAATAATGAATGTTTAATAATAAAGCTAGCAAAAAAAAATAATAAAATTAAATAATACATACATGACGTCACCACCTCTCCTATATCATCTTTATTTTTTTTGTAGTTTTTCATTGAAGACGTTATGAATAGCGTTGAGAGGATAACTCCTTCTATCATCCATAAAACAGAAGAGATTATGACACCAGGTCGTAATCCTAGGCAGAAGCAGAAATGAGAATATTTGTGTTTCTTCTTATATTTGATTTTTTCCATTATGGATTTCTATTACAAACTGGAAGGTAAGTGAAAATGGTTTATGTTAAAGTGAATTAAAAGAATAGCTTGATTTAAATGTTTAAATAACAAAAAAGAGGGACAAGAATAAAAACGGATCAGAAAATTGGTTTTTTTTTTAAAAAAAAGAGAAAATTTTCTTTAAAAGAATGTTAAAATAATATCTATTTTTTGACCATTATAAGAATATGAATGAAATTACATTTTCTTTTTTTTTTGAAAGGATATAAAGGCGAAGAATTTCGGGAAAATCATCAAAAAAATCATAAAGGATCAACATCTGTGATACAATCACATTTTTTTCTATGCAACTTTAATTTGAAATTTGTCTGTTGTAAAACAGATTGTTTTAACAAAGAACAGCGCTAAACTAAATTTTTATGACAAAAATCGCTGTTTTTGCACCAATCAATATCCGAATAAGGGCTGGTCCATTTGGCGTGTAACTTTACAATGGTGCGAAATTCTAACATATATTAAAAAGATCCAAATTGGAATATAGAAAGAAAAGGAGAACTGTTTACTAAATTTGATTAACAAAATTGTCACATAAGATGCCGATCAAAGTTTCTTTTGTGAAGATCTGGTAATTTAAGGACGTTTAAAGCGAAAATAATTTGTCTGACGTCCAAAAAACCTCTCGAGATCTGAAATTTAGTTATTTTATTTACGTAACCCTTCATAAGTAAGTTTTGAAATTTAATTGCAGCAAGTGGTAAAAAAAAATTGCCGTAAATCGGATCCGTTAAAAAACTTGGATGGCACGTTAGGGTAGATCCGGATAGATCCTATAGATCCGTAAAAATTCGCGGAATTTTCGGAATTACAGATTTGATATAATGCAGAACCTCTATACTCAACTACTTATGTATAGTAACAATTGATTGATTATAAATTTCTAAAAAAAAATTTTTTTATATTAATATGATCGGTTATTTTTTTTCTAAATTAAATTTTGGCTAAAGTTTTAGCTGTTTAATTTAAATATACTAGTTAAATTGAGACTAGTCTAAAATTTTTGCATCCCAGATTTTTTTTAGCCACATTTAATGTAATTGTTATTATACAGATTTTTTTTCAATATGCCAAAAAAAAATCTAATGAACAAATTGTTTAAGTATAGGTCAATTAATATTATAAATAATGATTATATACCATCAAGTGAATATTTAAAAGACAGTTCAAATAATAAATTTATAAACAAAAGAATTCAAAAACTAACTTTAATTTGGTCAAAAAATGCATATTATAAAATATAAATCTCATCATTATGTACCTGATTCATCAGTTTATAATGAAATACAATAAATAAATATATTATAAATATTTATATTATTTATAAATTAATTTCTTTTAACAAATAGAGTTTAATTCTTTTTATAAAATTAAAATTCAATCATAAAATCAAATTTTATTAAATTCCTATTATAGATTATTGGATCACTAAATTTTTAGATTTACCATACAATGGGAGTATAATACCAATTTTATAATTAAAATTCTACTTTACCACCTTCACATGACTGGTAACATTTAAGAAAATATAAAAAAACTATAGTTTTAGGAATTGGGAGGCATAAAATCAGATAGTAAAAATACAATTGGATGTGATACTAGTGATAAATATTTTTAGATTATATAAGGTAGAAAATTTGTTAGATGATCTTTGTCATATAACTAACTATAAGATATATAAATTCATTTTGTCATTTAATTACATTAAAATTTTATAATTTTTATAATTCTAACTAATATTTATAAAATAATAAATTTATAATAATTATAATTCTAGTTAAATTTATAATGTTATTAAGAATTTTATAATAAACTAAATAATAAATAACTTATAATAAATCAATTAGTAAATATGTTTAAAACTTATACAATATAATGGTAGCTTTTTTGTTGAGTACTATTATCTAATTCAATAGTTTTTATTAGTCTGGAGCGTAGCGAAGGACTTTATATGTTCTAGCCGTGGTGGTACAAAATATCCCGTTGTCCGTCCGCTTGTTCTTTGAGTCGACGTTTAATTGGTTCTTATATTACATGAAATTGTCTCGATCGGTTAATTGAGCATATGGTTATCTACCTATATACTGATAAGCTCCGAACTACGTAATGGTTTACCGTTTCCCTAGTTATTTTTACTATTCTAAAATACAACAGTTAACCCTGCCCTCTCTATAGTAGTTACTTCAAATATAATCACATTTCCCTTTCATTATAAGCATATTTATATTGGCTTAAATTACATAAGTTTATTAAAAAAAAAAACTCTTTTAGTCACATTATATAGTATTTTTATAATTACACCAATTTTTTTTAGCTCTGAAAAATGTAACTATAATCACTATATAGGAGATTAACTGTATTTTTTTTTAAAAAAAGTAAGTTATTACTTTGAATAAGTCTTTATTTAACTTTTTTTTAGTCTGAAAAGTATTAGTTATGAAAGTACTTAAAGATCCTTTTAAAAATAAATAAAAATTTGAAAATTTTATATGATATATTTCTAATATCTTACAGATATAATTTAAATATTATACTATATTTTAATTTTTAAGTAAATATCACATTAAATATTCATATGATATTTTAAAGAAAAGCAATAAAAAATTCTAAAAAAACAGAATAAAAGCCTATAATATTTGAAAATAAATATAAACAAAGTGGATATAGGATACTCTTAACCCTTTTTTATATAATCAATATTGGCAAACTATTAAAGTCTTTAATTTTTTTAATTAGCTTTATTTTTAATATTAAATAAATTGATAAGATGGATATTAATTTTAAAGCTATTTAAAAATAAAAATATCATAAATTAACTAATCAAAAACTAACTTTTACTGTTAATAATAAATATAATATAAAAATAAAAATATCAGAAAATTATAAAAATATTATTTATAGTATTATTGATAGAATCCAGAAATGCTAAAAGATCACATAATTAATATTTATTGCGAAATTAAATAATTATATATATTTTTTTTTTTTTTTATGTTTTAGGAGACATCAGCATAGCTGGCTCACCAAAGCTACGTGGAGAGAGCATTACAACACCAGTTGCAGTAATATACTCCTACCGTTGAGCAACAGATAACCAAACAACCTACTTTAATTATTTAGAAGTAACCGGATGTTCATCCCCCCTACCCCCTATATACCACACTGGGAAGACGACCCAAGTTTATACCCACACAAGGATGGGTCGTAGTGTAGCAGGGTTTCTGACACAGTTATGCTACCCACTAGCACCTGTCAGAAGTGAGCAACCACCCACGTACGGCAGATATAATGGAGCAGACATCTAGAAGTCCTTTCATGATGGTTAGCTTAGAGGTACTGCAATACTAAGACTACTAGTATGGCCTCACTTAAAACCCACTACAGGCCACAATTATCATACCAGTCCACTATAGTTGTAAATCCCCCAGTAGTAATAGCAGTGACTACCAGGACAGTAAGCTACTAAGGGTACTGGGATCACCTCTTTATTATAAGTAACCAATCCAGTTACCCAGGGATCACCCACCAGTATGTCAAATTCACTGAGAAATTGAACCTCACCTTAGAACCTTATATACCTGTAAGCCTACGAACGTCTTCAATCAGCCTAAACCTATTAGAAGGTAAACTACTGCTAAGACATTGCACTTGAGACTTTACCACCTATGAGAATCATCTAGCGTAGTAAACCCTAACAGTAAAGTTTACCACACCCTTAGTGGTATCGTAGAGTGACCATCAAGACAAAAGCTCACCCAGATGGTATGCAAGCAGTGACCATCCAAACAGGATAATAGGCTTCCCAATGGCCTCATAGGGAACGCTAGAAGGACACCATGACCTTTTATTGAAATATGCCGCCGATCAGTACATACTAATTCACCATGATGCAGTTCAGCCTACACTAATCCCTGTACCTTCACACTATTGGTAGTAGTGTCTGCAGTAAAATTCTTTTAATTTCCGTGATCGGCGGAATCGAACTTACGACCTCACCATACTCAGGCTTCACGAGGGGACTCACAGACTAACCAATGAGCCAAGGGTGATTAACTCTTTAAATAATTATATATATTACGGTTAAAAGCAATATTAAACTACACTTTAACATAAATTATTTTGCTTATATACAACGTCTAATTTAAATGTTACTATTTTCTTTATCAGCTTTGTGTTTTGTACAACTGTGAATATTATGACCTTTACCTAAACAATAACTACAAGTCCTATGTACAACTAAAGGTTGAATAGTAGTATTAGCTTCTGTTGATGATTTAAATCGTTTTGAAGGTCGTCCTTTTGGCTTATGGTATTCTGGATTAGATATTTCAGTAAGGTTATATCTAAAATTTAAATCAGTTAAAGGTTGCTGGTAATTATTACTACTTGATCCAATTTTAGCATCGGTAGCTTCATCATTCAAATGTAATAGGGAGTTGTGAAATTCTTCAATACCTAATCCAGTAGTATTACGAAATTTCATATTAAATTGTGTAAGAAATCCCATCAGCTTTGCTGTAGTGCCTTCAACTATTGCAATTTGAACACTTGTCTTTGCCATTGACATTGTAGTACTAAATAGAACTTTCTTGTTAACAGATTCTCTAATAGTTGATGTATAAACACATTTACTTCGAATTTGATCAATATAATGTAATGGCATAAATGTGTGAGTTTGAGTTCCTATTGTAATTACATTTATTTTAAATGGAATTAATTCAAACCAGCATGCATAAATGAATCCTATATGAAAAACAGCTTTATCAGACTGAATAAGAATGCAATACTGATGACGACATAGCATTTTTTGGTTGATGATATTTATACAAGTACAAAGTAATGTTGAATCTTTAAGGATTATAACATAATGTGATTTAGATTCTGGAGTTACTGCAATGTAAGAAACTTTCCAAAGTTCTTCAATCTCATTGTTAGGTATATCTGATAAAAGCTCTTGAATACGAATTTGAAGTGTATCATATAAATGTTCAATAATGTCATCAAATAAATCTAATTCTTCAACCTAAATAAAGAATAAAATGAAAATAAAAACAAGTTA